GTGCTCCCTCCCCACCTGCCCCCTCCAGCGTTAAAGTCCTCTTCTCTTTCCCTGTGAACTCTGTCTCATTTGCTAAGGGGTCACACACGGACAGATCCTGACCCACTAGACACATCAGCCGCGGCATACTCCTTCCTGTGGGCCACATGCCACACTGATGGCTGGTGTTTGGCCAATTAATTTGGTGAATGAATGATTGAGCTGAAATCGGGTCACAGAAAGGGAAGTCCATGGCGACAGGGGACCATGAACTTGTGGCAAGAAGCACCGGAGATGACTGACCTCAGAGTGTGGCCCACACTGCTATGGGCAGAGCGTCTCAAAGCTGGAGGAGCTCAGATGTCGTCTAGTCCAGTCTCTGTCATATGAACCTTCCACAGCATTGCAGACAGCAGGCCAGAGCCCCGCACAAGCACATTCGGTGAGGACAGACCGAGCGCACTGCCAAGTGCAGTGGGAAGGATACAGGCTGTGAGCCTGACTGACCTGGGCTCAGATTTCAGCTCTGCTCTTTGCCAGTTGGTGGCCTTATGCAAGCCGTTTGACCTCTCTGGGCCATGGTGTCTCTTTTTTGAAAGAGGGATATACTACTGCTTTCTTTCAAAGTTGCAAGCACTATAGAGAATATACAAAACAACAACAAAAAGCCCACCGGCCAGCTTATAAAGGGGCATTAATGAATAGTAGCTAATTCTGTTTCTATGGTATATGATTAGTTGTTACATATGGCTGGGGAAAGGGTTGTGAAGAGTTCAAAGACAGTTCTAAGTAACAGAATTTGGGTTTAAACCTAACAGTCTGTCATAATTAAGTGAACTTATTATGGGACTCACTCACATGGTCTCATACGAAGATGATGTTCCAAAGATGTTCCGGATCAGGGGTTACCAAGCTTTTTCCACAAGGACATACCCCATGGAAAATTCTCCCAATGAGACACTTGCCAGCTCACAGAGGCCTCTGCAGAGACCCAGACAGCTGCAGAGGCTGGTCTGGGAGAGATGACCCAGAAACCGTGCTCAAGGCCGGTGTATGCCTGTGCCAGTCCTGATTCTGGAAGCGGGCAGGGATAGAAGTGGAGAAGCCACGTTTCTCCCGTTATGTATTTGGGAGCCAGGTCGTTACTGGTTTGGCTCCTGGGAGTTTCAGGTCAAGTATGAGGGCCTCATCTAATGGGCAGGGCTTCAGTCTCAAGGAGTGGGAGGAAGGAGGAGGCTTGGAGCCTTAGGCAGGTAATGGTGGCCAGGACCTCAGATGTCACCTGGGCCAGGCCTAAGCTTGTGTGTAAAGCCAGAACGGTTCAGAAGTCAGGTCTTAGTAAACTGGTTGAACCTATGGAAGGCGGAGAAGGGAGGAGGAGAGGAGAGGATCAAAAAGTAGCCTTGATACCGGAGTGCCAGGAACAGAATCAGGAGGGTCTCGACTCTCATCCCAGGTTTCCTCCTCCTCCCGGTTTCCCTATCACAGTGGGCAGCACCTCCACCTACAGGGCCAAAACCCCGGAGTCTCCTCCGATCCCACTCCTCACTCTGCCTAGAACCCACTCCCTCTTCCTCTGGCCACCTCCCTGCCGGCTGTTTCGAAGTCGTGCCCATGCCCCTCTGGAAAGGGTGCCTGTTCTCAGTCCTCCCCGGCGCTCTCCTGGTCAGGCCTCAGCTTCCTGCTGGCTCTCTGTTTGGTCTCAGCCCTGGCCTCCCGCCCCACTGCTCCCTGCTGCCCACCATTCACACGGCTGCAGAGTTCTCTTTCCCAGAACAAATCAGACCACACTCCTCTTTGGCTTGAAATCATTTGGCAACTCCTTGTTACAGTCCAGCATGGCTGGTACAGGACCTCATGATCTGTCCAGCTTCTTGCGCCCTGTCCCACAAGCTTCAGCCCAGCCACCCAAACTGCCTGCAGGTTCCCACGGTGGGCTGTGCCTCTGGGAGGCTCTCGGTGTTCTCCTCACTCTGCCCGGGCCTGCCGCTCCCTCTCCTCCCGCCAACTCCCCGTCAGCCTCTCTGACTCCACTCCAGAACCCTCACCCCACCCCTGACTCGGGTCGGCAGAGGAGCTCCCCCTCTGTGCTTCTCACTCCCTCCTTCGTGGCTCTTACCGTGTCGTCCTGGAGCAACCTCAGACCCTCTGCGTCTCACCTTGAGCCCAGGGCCTGCTCTTACTCAGTTTCAGCTCTGAAGAGCTCAGCATCCTGCCAGGAGACCGGAAGCACTCAGTACATTGTTGCGTGAATGGATAGGTGAAATCGAGCAACGAGGGAACCCGAGAGAGGGAAAGATTTGACAGGGGAGACAACACACTGGGGTCCCAGGGACGTTGAGTTTGAGCTGTTGGTGGGGCTAGGCTTCTGACTTGGCCTCTCCCTTTGCAGCACCTTAGTTTCCTCATTTATTAAATAAAAGAATCACACCAGACAATGTCCTTCTAGCTCTGAGGCTCTCTGAGTCGATACAGCTGGTCTGGTAACTGTGAGCCACTTGTCTAGGTGGAAGTCCAAGCGGCACTGGGAAGGTGGGTCTGAAGCTGGGGGAACATCTGTTAAGAAACAGTGGACTCGCCCTGGCCAGTTTGGCTCAGCGGTTAGAGTGTTGGCCCGCAGACCAGAGAGTCCCGGGTTCGGTTCCCGCTAAGGGCACGTACCTCGGTTGCAGTTTGACTCCGGCCCCGGTTGGGGTCATGTGGGTGGCAACCACTCGATGTGTCTCTCTCACATCGATGTTTCTCCCTCTCTCCTTCACTTTCTCCCTCTCTCCCTCATGCTCTATCTGAAGATAAATGCAAGAATGTCCTCAGGTGAGGAATAAATAAATAAATAAATAAATAAATAAATAAATAAATAAATAAAAAAAAATGGTGGTCTTGCCCTGGCTGGTTTGGCTCAGCAGTTAGAGCGTTGGCCTGTGGACCAAAGAGTCGGGGGTTCAATTCTGGTCAAGGGCATGTACCTTGGTTGCGGTTCGGTCCCCGGCCTTGGTTGGGGTTGTGTGGGAGGCAACCAATTGATGTGTCTCTCTCACATCGATGTTTCTCTTTCTTTCCATCCCACACTCTATCTGAAGATAAATGGAAAAATATCCCTGGGTGAGGATTTAAAAAAAAGAAAGAAACGGTAGTCTCTCTGCTCAGATACAAGCCAATTTCCCTAAGGAGGTCAAATGACCAACAAGTGGCTCGCAGCTACCAAACCATCTTTATCGACTCAGAGAGCCTCAGAGCCAGAGGACACTGTCCAGTGTGATTCTTTTATTTAACAAATGAGGAAACTGAGGTTCTGCCACGGGAGAGGCCTACAGTGCTAGGACCAGAACCCGTGAGTCTCCACCACAGTCTAAGCTGTTTACGCCCCCCCCCCCCACCCCCAGCACTGTCTCTGGGCCCTGAAGTGGGGCGTTGTCAATGAGGATGAAAGTGGCACCGGAAGAACCTAACTCCACAGATGTTCATACACTGTCTTCCTTTCCCACGTCACAGCTTCTCAGGACCCCGCATGAGAACAGACCCAGGAAAGACCTTGGGAGCCGCAGAGCTTATGCATTGAATCTCTTGCACTCAGCAAACAGGATGGACCCTGTGACCTTCTTTTCAGCCACAGCTACATTTATTCTACCATGTTTGTTTCTAATCCTCACCCAAGGACGTGTTCATTGATTTTTAGAAAGGGAGGGAGGGGCTAGAGAGAAAAAGAGAGAGAGAGAGACAGGGAGAGAGAGAAACACCAACTGGTTGCCTCCCATACGTGTCCTGACTGGGGATCGAACCTGAAACCTTTTCAGTGTACAGGACCACGCTCCAACCAACTGAGCCACACCAGCCAGAGCTATTTTAACATGTTTTAAACAGGGTTAACCATCTACTCTCCAGTCCTATAACAGGTCAGAATCAGCTCATTAGAAACCACAAAAGAGACAGCTGTGAACAAGAAAGCTGACACACTGACTGAGAAAAAGCAGCAGATGGGGTCATTCAGGGCAACGACCAATAGCCGCTCACAGCGAAGCACACGGAGACTCTCCACACATACACGTGGAGACGCATCATGTGCTGTTTACGACCTGTAAGCATTTACGCATCCGTAAGCATTTTCATCTGAAGTGATTAGGATTGTTAAAGTTCCAGCACTGTAAGAAGCAAGCCCTCTAATCAAAGGGAGGGATTATCCTCAAGGATTCTGAATAGCAAAGGGTCTTCATCATGCCAAAGTGGGAATGGAAACTGGCGTTTGTCAATTGACCACAATATACCAGGCACATTGTCTAACACAATGCTAATATATTGTCTCATTTAACTTTCATAATTCTCTCTTTTTTTTAAAATCCTCACCCAAGGACATTTATTCTCAGATAGAGTGGGAGGGAGAGAGAGAAACATCGATGTGAGAGGGACAAATTGACTGGTTGCCTCCCGCACGACCCTGACCAGGGCCAGGATGAACCACAACTGAGGTACATGCCCTTGACCGAAATCAAACCTGCGACTCTTTGGGCCGAGGGCCGACACTACTGCTGAGCCAAACCAACCAGGGCTAACTTTCATAATTCTTAAACCTCAAGCACTCAATTATATAGGGTGGGGCAAAAGTAGGTTTACAGTTGTGAGTACATGAAACAGCTTATTCTTGTATTATGTATTAATTATTGAATATATAAACTGTAAACCTACTTTTGCCCCACCCTGCGTATGTTGAACCCATGAATGACTGAATGGATTGAGTTTTATTAGCCTCATTTTGAAAACGGGGGCAATAAGGCGCAAAGATGAAACTTGCCTGTGCCTGATGACTGGGTGGGAGCTGGGAGCTGAGACCTGGGAGCCGGAGCTTTTCTCCAGGGCACTACTGCTATTGCCACAACCTGCATTAACTCGGCAGGAGAAACCCTTGCACTTACCCGCGAGGACAGGGCGAAGCGAACTCTTCGGCCGCGTTCAGTCAGCACCACACGGACTCCGCGAGCTTGCAGCCCTGGCATACGTGTAGCACTTAGGTCTTCTTTGATTCGCAGGAACGAATTCAGAGCATGGACAGACATCAAGCCTGTGAAACCGATAAAAGCGAAGCTCCAGTACAAGCCCCCGGATGATAAGATGGCTCATGAGACCAGCTACAGCGCCCAGTTCAAAGGGGAGGCCAATAAGCCAACAGCGGCTGACAATAAGTTCACTGAGCGCAGAAGAATACGCAGCCTCTACAGCGAACCTTTCAAGGAATCCCCAAAGGTGAGATAGATCTTGTGGGGAACCCATCAGCACAGCCTGGGATGGAGGGGTCGCTGCCCCAGAGCATGGGGGGGGGGGGGCACTGCCAACTCTGGTCCAGCCCCCAGGGCGGGATTAAAATCCCTTCACTTTGCAGCACACTGAGACGGAGGGGGCTTCTTAAGAGGAACTTTTGTTAAATTCAAAAGGAATGTGTACAAGTAACATTACCTAAAATAAAAATAGCATAAAGACTGGCAGACGTGCAGAAAACTAACTTCTGACTTTGAGAAACCCAGAAAAAAAGTGGCAGAAGATCTCACCTGGGTCCTAAATCCCCTTGTCATAAAATAACTATGCTCTGGGCCCTGAAGTGCTGGCCCCGTGACGGAGGCATCCTTGCCTGGCTCATCCTCAGCTCAAGTCCCTAGACGTTTCCGCCCCTCCCAGTCCCTGAAAATCACTGCCCTTTCTTACCCTCTTCCTCCATCAACACCATCCGCCCGCCGTTCTCACGCTGTCAGAACGCACCTGTCATGTCAGCTGCAAGATGTGCTTTGAGTAACTTGTTACTGTAATGAACAGCTTGTGAATGGTTTGCACTTCTAAGTAACTTCCAGAAGATTGAGGAATTTTCCTCTAATGACACTACTTTGCCTTATCTGCATCCCAGAATGCGTCCGTGAGAGGGAGAGCATGTCGGAGATTCAGCTGCTGACGCAGGAGTCATGTGCCAGAGCTTATTCTCTGAGGTCAGGTCACATGGAAACTCGGCTCTGCTATCTGCAATAGCGGGAAAAGTCCGAGAACCTAAGAGCCTTTTCTCTGCTTTTGCCCTAAAGTCTTGCCCTCAGTGGTTACCTATTTGGCCCAGGACTGGTTGACAGGTAAGATAACTAACCGGCCCCGTTTGCCCGGACTCCTCCCGCTGTAGCACTGAAAGTTTCATGTCTCGTGAGAGTTCTCAGTCCCGGTCAAACCAGGTTGATTGGTTACCTTACAGGCAGGTCAGAGGTGACGAACAACCTCTGGACCTCAGTGAGTGAAGGACCTAGCCTGAGGCCAAGGTCATCTCTGCCCACCTTTCACAGACGAGGTAGGACCCAGGACTTGGGGTTGGCTTTGAACAAAAGAAGATTCAAAGGGAAGAAGAAGAAAAGATTGGGGAAAATAAATCTGGAGATGGAAGGGAGGCGGCATGTGGAGGGATCATACCCAGTGACCCCCAAGTTCTTGAGAAAGAGAAGGCAAGGCCACCCTGTAGGAGTGAAGAGAGGAGCTGGGGGAGGGAGCCCGGGGGCAGAGCGGGTCTGAGCAGCTGCTGGGCTGGGAGAAGAGGCGTGGCTGGCGGGCAGCGAGGCCTCACCAGATGCCATGCCTGGCGCCCGCACCTCGGTGAGAGCATCTCCAGTGCGCTCGCCACCTTGCAGACAGAAACAGAGTCTGCGTCTTACATCAACAAAGGTTTATTTCTTATGCTACACGCCCGTCGGGGGTGGGCGCAGCTCAAGTCTGGGGCGCAGAAGTCTGGGGCGCAGGGTGGAGGAGCGGCCTGTCTGGCAGGGGAAGAGCCCCAGGAAGCTCAGGCTGACTGAGTCGGCTGGAGGTGACCCACGTCACTGCTCACATTTCACGGATAAAAGCAAATCATGGGCCTGCCTGGCGTGGACAGGGCGAGGAGGGAGGTATAATCTTCCTACAGGAGGAGCAGACCGTGCAGATGGTAACACAGTCCACTGCCTGGGTGGTCCAGGGGTGAGAGGCCCAAGGATTCGTGTGACCAGTGTGAGAGTTGTCAGATGACTGACCAGGGGGTGCAAAGGGGTTCTAGAAGCCGAGTGACCTGCTGTCACTGAGAACACTTTATACACTGTGCTCCCTCAGGGTCCGATGGCATCATTATCGTTATCCTTTCATTAATCGCGTCTTCTCTCTAAATTCTCTCTCCCACTCCCTCCCCTTCTGTGTTTCTGTATTTGTGGTCTGTCTGTCTCTCCGTGCAGGTGGAGAAACCTGGTGTTCAGAGCTCCAAACCAAAAAAGAGCTCAGCGAGCCATAAGCCCCCGAGGAAGTCCAAAGACAAGCAGGTGGTGTCGGGCCGGGCCTTCAAGAAAAGGAGCACGGAGGCCCCCAGCGCCGCGCCAGCCGACGACAAGGAGCAAAGTAAAGAGATGAACAATAAACTGGCTGAGGCGAAAGAGTAAATTTCACTGCACTTTCCTTTTCTTCTTCTCTCTCTCTCTCTCTTTCTAAACCAACCAACAAAAAAAAGGCCACAAAATGTATTAGAGGCTTCTCCTCTGTCTTGGTCCTGAGTGTTCCAGGAGCTCTTTGGTTTGGTTTTTATAAAAACGGAGGATGCTGTTTGTTTTGAAGACCACACGGCGTGCCTCTCCTCTGTGTGGCCCAGGGACCACGCCCGGGGCCCCTGGAACCCACGTGGCTCACTGGAGGTGCCTTCCCACGGCAGGTAGACCGCATGCTGGTGAGGGAGGCAGGCCGTCTCCTGGTAGCGCTTGGAAGTGTCTGTGGGCTGTCCTCCTCCTAGTCCTCCCCAAGGTCAGAGTCAGTGACCAATTTGGAACGTTAGGTAAAGGTGTTCTTTTCCAAATCCAGAGAGTTCTCATGTGCTATAGAAGCTTAACCTGAGCTTCAGCAATTGGCAACATTTGTGGAAGTATTTTTAAAAACACGAGAAAACCTTGGCCTTAATGTCAAATAAAATTAGTTGTGTCTGTTAGGTTTAAGCCATTTTTTTTTTCATAGAATCTTCTGTTAGAAATGTGTGGCTGCATTTAGTTTTTCCTATCGGTGGGCTGTACAGTGTCTACCAAGTAACAGGTGTGCCACTGATGACTAAAACTAGGGCCGGGTAACGGTCAGGTGTATTAGACCTCATAGGAAGGTGACAAAAGTGAAGTGACTGTCTCCTGTTTCCCCTCAGCTGGCTGCCGGCCCAGTGCTGCCGATTTTGCAAAGCAGCTGGTCCCAGGTGACTGAGGAAGAAAGCTCACGCTGTAGGGATAGTGTAGGGATAGAAGGTGACTCTCCTGCCTCCGCGGAACACAGGGCAGGGAGTGGACGTAGTCACAGGCGTGGCAGTGTTCACTGTCCCTTCCCAAACTGCTCTTGCTCTGCTGCTCAGAGCTTCAGGGTAGGGAAATACCTGTGACTCAGCTGAGACCAGAATTCCCTGCTACGTGATTAGCAAGCATTCTTTACCTCGTTAACGAATACAAGCAGCTCTCGATGAATTGTGTGTTGTGTCTGTGTGGCCAAAGCCTCCAGTGGCGGCCGGTGCCACCTTTGCTGTGCTAGAGTTGTGTTGTAGGCATTAGTCAGAGAGCTGTTGTGAGAGGACCCCAGTGCTCGTGAGGGAACCCCAAATACCTGCTGGAAAGATTACCTTTGCAAACCTGTGGTGTGTATGTTGCTCAATATGCTTTATTTCTCGTGTCCTTGACGTGCTTACTGTCGCCAGCATAGGGAATCGCTGGGCTGCTGTGTGACGCCAAGCCCCTGCTCAGGCTGACTTTTCCTTTGTAATGAAAGCGGCGCAGAGCAAAGTTCTCCCAGTTTCTCACCTCAGATGGGCCTCTGGGTCCTTCGGGTTTGGACAAGGCAGAGCCTCCCGGTGCTCTTTCACATTCTGACCATTGAAGCAGCCACGTCTCTGTTGACACTGTTCTGCTTGTCACCTTGGAGCCGATTGAGACGTGTCCTGTGGATTCACTAGGCACGTGTTCTGCGGGCCATGTTTGCTGAGAGAACAGGACCCCTGAGAACGAAGCCCTTGGCGGGCCCGCGGCCACCTTCCTTCCGCCCCGGGGCACGGAACTGCGAGGAAGGAGAAGTACTGAAGAAGGTAGAACACGTTAGTGTGTTTCGTGTTTACGAATGAGATCTTGATGCCTATCTGGAAATGACCAGGGTCGGTCTCAGCACTGATTCCAGCTGTTTGCTAGCTAATCTTACCATTAACCAGAGAGCTCTGTCAACGTGATCTCAACTGTGTCCAGAGAGTTTGCCAATTTCATTCTCTCAAGATTTGGAATCAGCCAGACATGTTGATGTTAGCCACAGTCTGGATTTCTCCATAGCATAGCCGTATGTTTGCAGATCAAGTAAATCAGACTTTACAATGCACAGGGAACCATGCACTCAATATTCACTTATTGAACACCTGTGTGCCAGATACTGTCCCAGACACGACGGGTCGTATAGATAAATCTGTCTCCACAGCAGCACAACCAGAAGGACACATGTGACTTGATCCCTGTGTGTGATTCAAGTCTGTGTTGCCCAAATTGTAGAGTTTGCCACCCGCCTGACAGCCCCAGGGACTAAGTTCCCTACACCTGATCTGAGGCTTGAGATGACCCGGACAGTGTCTTTTTGAACCCTTCAGTATCCCCACCTTTTTAACACCTGTTTGTATTTCACTTTGACTTATGACTGTGTCACTTCACTGGTAAGAAGCTTCCTTTGATTTTGACTGTTTACAAATACAACTCAGCCGGTCTTGTTCGGTACCCCAGACTTACTGACGGAAACCGATTTTGGTTTCACACACAGTGTTTTGTTTTCGCTTCCCCGAAGGTGACCAAGTTTCAATTGCCTGTTCCGCCCATTTTTGTACATTTCCCTATGGTTTCCTCAACTCCCCTGGCAAGTGAGTGAGGACTAAAGCTTTGCCACTGTCTGCTTTGCTTGCCTGCAAAAGTAACCCCTAAAGCTGGGCAGGGGCCCCCACAGCTTTGCGTTCCCGCTGGCGTGCCCATTCGGTCCGTCGTACTTCTGCCTGGCCAAGGCAGACAGGAGTGTCTAATTACAATTTTGTGGCCTGGGTTTTGTTGCATACCACAGATTGTGTATGTAATGTGTAGCGCACACCTCTCTTGGTGCTATTCCTTCCTGCTGTTAGTAAGAAAATGACAAAAATATTCATGTATAGCCAATTGATTGTGACGTGCTTGTGGTCTGTGCCTGCTCAGAAAACAAAAACAAACAAACAAACAAACAGTTTTTCCAATTATAAATAAATGCTGAAGACGAACACCACTTTCTTGATCTTATTTCCTTGATAAGGCCCAGCTGAGTAGGCGAAGGACCAACCTTTGCCATCTGAGCCACTCTCCACGAGAGGAGCTGTGCCCTGCAGTGTTTCTGGGGTTGTCCATAATGCAGCTTGCCTCTTTTAGATGGCCTCTCAGATACTAATTGCAAGCAGTCAGAGCTAAGTGTTGGGAAAGGCGAAGATGGACCGGGAGACCCACTGGCCGACAAGGTAGTGTAACGTTTTGATCCCATGTTGCTGGGGATGAGTGACCGCCTGCATTCAGCACCTCCTCGCCCTGCTGGGACACGGGGCCCTGACTCTCTACCCCCTTCCTGTCAGCCAGCAGGGCTGTCGGTTCCGGCTTTTTCTCCTCCCAAGAGATGGCAGAGATGCCTTCACTTACTCATTTAATCTGGCCATTGTGGAGGTCCTACCCTCCCGGGCTGGCTCACTGTGTGGGGTACAGGGTGACAGTCTTGTGTATGCCTAAGATGGGGGTGTGGAAACAGCCATAAGAGCGGTCTCAGGAAGGTAACAACAGACCGCGTAGCTGGGCGCTCAGTGAAGGGCAGGCTCCTTCCTGCAGGGGTAGGGAGCTGAAGGCTTCATGGGAGAGCAAGCTTTGGAGAGTGGCTAGGATGCAGGTATGCGGGCTCAGGCCTACAGACAGGAGAGCAGATCTGGGCGGGACCTCAGAGCTAGGGCCACGTTTGCCCACTTTGATATCCCTCCGCTAACGTGAAAGACAAAAGATTCTATGGGGATCCCTCTTGTCTTTTCCAGCAGATGTTGACTGATTGCCTGTTCTGTGCTAGGCATTGTGCTGGGCACCAGGAAACCAGGATGACAGAGCCCACCTCTGATCCCAGTGGGGCGACAGGAGGAAGTTGCTCTAGCTGGTTCTGTGGATCAGGGAAGACCTCAGTGGATGGGCAGGTGATGACCAGGTGGCCAGGGCATGCCAGGCAGAGGGAGTGCACAGCAAAAATGTGGAGGGGGTCCAACGCCAGGTGAGCGCAGGTCCTGGCGGACTGGTTCTGTCGGTTTGCAAGCTCCCTGGGTGGAAAGCACTGGGCTCTGCAAGCCTGCGTCACGGGCCTCTTGGAGCTTCGGCGTCCTCAATGCAGGGGCCAAGGCGAAGGCTGGACGGGGACAGAGCCTGTCACAGAAGGGCCTGGCACCGTGTGAATGGGCAGGTGCTAACCAGGATCTCCATTTCATACACCTGGATTGCACCCCACACCTCTGCATGCTCCCTGCCATCATGCTCCTCACCCACATATCAGGCAACAAGCACAGGTCTTCTCTTGCTTTAGGCTAGGAGCTGTAGCCTGGGACTTGCATTCTACTGCTGGCTCCCAGTTTCTGGGTTTGGGGGAGGAGGCCTGGTAAGATCAGTCAAGGGCCATACATATGAAAAACACTGTATATTTGTTTTCTAGATTAACAGAAAAAAATTACACCCACCTGCCTGCTTTGGTGTGAGACAGAAAACAGAAAATACTGTTCACTATATAAACCATACATAAAAGCATATTAAAGTATATTATCCGGCTCTCTTTTGATCAGTTAAGGATTGTTTTTGATCAAAACCAGGGATTGAGAGAGGTGGAAAGGAAGGTAAGAGAGAGAGAGAGAGAGAAGTGAGATGGAAGCAGAGAGGAAAACACATGGATGGAGACAGAATAACCTGAGAGAAGGGAACACACTCAGGATCAGAGAGGACGAGGATCGGGCAGCGGAGAAAGCGGAAGCGGGGAGCCCGGCTACCTCTCTCCGTGCTGCCCAGCAGGCGGGTCGCCCAGGGCCTTAGCCGGCGCTTCTGCCGTGCTCCCTGGTGGGGCCCAGAGCCCAGGTGGATCCAGAGCTCATTACTAAGGCCACCTCCCTAAGACAGCAAACAAAATTCCAATCAGCCCTCTAGTTTTAAGATAGTTCATTATTACTAAATTAGTTACGTATTGTTTAACTCTTCTTTAGTGTTTGTGTGTTCTTAGTGCAATTCTTTCCTCGTTTTTTTTCACTTGAGTGTAAACATTTATAACCTGCTTCTCATAGATGTGGGGAATGGCAAGACCTATTTCACAAAGGCTAGGAACTCCTTTAGCACGTCTTCCTGGTTTCAAGTTCCTTTTACTGCT